ATGAGTGCTAGTCCCACCTTAGGCATGAAAGCCAGTGGGGTGACTTTGGGCCAATCACCAGCAACCTATGAGTTCTAGTCCCACCTTAGGCATGAAAGCCAGTGGGGTGAGCCAATCACCAGCAACCTATGAGTTCTAGTCCCACTTTAGGCACGAAAGCCAGTTTGGTGACTTTGGACCAGTCCCCCTCCTCTCAGCCCAACCTACTACTCAGGAAGCACAGAGTATGCATGCCACTGTGAGTTCGATACGAATAAAGGCGGGATAGAAGTCAATCAATTCATAAAAAAATGGAGCCAGGTTTCAATGCTGAGCATCATATTGGTAATTAAACCAAACTTTGCCTCTGGCCACCTTTCAATTGGTGGGCTAGGACATCTACCCAACCCAGATTCAGTTGATGTCTGGATCTGAGCAGGGCAGACTTCCACTTGACGGTGAGCAAGTGTGCCCCATCCATCTGTCCTAGTGGATCTGGTCCCTCTGCTCTCTTGTGGTTCCCCCCCTCTCTTACTGTGGCTGTCTCAACCCTCTGGGATGGCTTGAGAGTTGTGGGTCAGTGCAAAGGGTGTGTGTGTGATGTAAGTCGGAGCTTGCATGAGTGATGGTGTGAGTACAACAAGCATTGCAGCATCAGGACAAGGCTAGCTGAGCAGCAGCGAGCCAAACAAACCCAGTTTACCATGAAGTCACTGTCAAATTTGGATTTCTGCAGGGGGGGGGGCAGCATTTTTCCTTGACACTTCCTCTTCTATCAGCACCCTCTCTGCATGTGCCCCCATTTTCGAGCCACCCCTGTTTATAGTATATTTAGAATGCTGGCAGATTATGGAAATGACTTGGAGGGTCAGGCGAAGCTGCTAGTGTCATATTCCCATTTTATACTTTGTTAAATACAGCTAAGGGGACAAAATGGCTCAGTGGTTAAAGATGCTGAGCTTGTCATCTTGAGAGCTGACAGCCGGGGTTTGAGACCCGACGCTTCACGCAATGGAGTGAGTTCCCGTTTACTTGGCCCAGCTCCTTCCCAGTTTGAAAGCATGCAAATGGGAGTAGATTAATAGGAACCACTTCAGAGGGAAGGTAACAGTGTTTTGTGCACCTTTGGCCTGCAGCAATGACCATGGAAATTGTCTTAGGACAACGATGGCTCCCTCAGCTAAGAAACGGAGAGTTGGGCATGACTGATAGAGAAACATTTACCTTTAAATACAGTTAGTCCTCAACTTACAACTGAAATTACAATAGTACATTACATTGGAAATTACAACAGCACTGGAAAAACTAACTTAGAACCGGTCCTCGCATTTACGCCCATTGTAGCATCCCTCTGGTCACATGATCAAAATCCAGGTGTTTGGCAACCCCTTACCCTGGTTGCAGCTTCCCGGGGTCATGTGATTCCCATTTGCAGCCTTCCCAGTTGCCTTCCGACAAGCAAAGCCAATGATCATGAAGCTGGATTTGTTTCATGATCACACAATCTACTTAACAGCTGCAGTTATTCGCTTAACAAACAATGGCAAAAAGGATCATAACATTGGGTGCAACTTACTTACTAACCACCTAGCTTAACAACAAAAATTATGACCTCAATTGTCATAAACTAAGGACTACCTCTATGATTGCAGACCATCAAAAACGACCTGGTTAGGTTGGCTGGAAGGAGTTCACAGGCCACAAATCTGAAGACTTCTGCTTGAAGTTGCAGACCTGTATAAATGTGCAGAGCATTTCAGCCTAAGGGCTTGAGGTCTGGCATCTTTAAATCTCGCCTCAGCTGTCAATGCAACTAAGGTGATCTCGGTCAAGCCGATCGTTTTCCAATGGAGAGATTGGGGTCTGCATGAAGGCGATCAGAAAAACCAAGATGGCAGTCATAATCCTGTCATCAAAGCACCACCCCTTTTACATATGTGTAAGAGGAGCGATTGGGTTTGTTTTTTTTACCCCTAACATTACTCACTGGCAGGAAGACATCCACTGGCTTTGGTAGTCATAAGGAGATAGAGAAGGTCTAAAAATTGTGCCTCCCCTTGTTGCTGATCCCTGCTTAGTCCCTTCGGAACAAAACCATCAATGGTTGCTATCCATAGGGATTTAAAGGGGGGGGGGCGGGCAATTTAAAGAAAAGCAATTGACTGATTTCCCCAACTTGTAAGGTGCTTCAAGAAGAGAATCCTGTAAATTAAATAAAAATAAATAAAGTTCATTTTCTCCTCCCACCAAAAGTAAACTGCTGGCAGGAAAACAACAATCACTCTCCCTAAAAAAGAGGCAGGCTTGAGCACATAAGAATGTGCCTGAAATGACATATTTGGCACACTGGCAGAGGTGCCCAGGCTTATGACGTGTCCCTCGGCCTATTTCTGAACATGGGTCTACCACTTTTCCGAGAGGGTGCTAAACCCCTGTCTGAAAATAGTCTGAATGAAAGACAAAAGGCCTGCTTATGAGTTGGGGAGAGGGGTGAAATGGAAGGAAGTGATGGATAAACTTTATTCTCTACTAGGGCTGCAAGGCGAATTGATTAAGAATGATTAATAAATCCAGTTCTGACTCCGTCGCTGGCCTTAGCCAGAACTGGACAGAGCAGGAGTAGGCAACTATAGCCCCTTTATGCCTTATGGTCTTCAACTCCCAGAATTCCTGAGCTAGCCATGTTGGCTCAGGAACTCTGGGAGTTGAAGTCCACAGGGCATAAAGGAACCACGATTGCCCATCCCTGGGCTAGTAGATAATGGTGCAAAACATGCAATTATGATTGCCCTGCACATAATAACAACAGTCATCACCACTGGTCAGATTACAGCAAAATGGGCCCGCCCTACCCATCAACTAAAGTAAAAAGAAAGAAAAAGAAAGTCAAATAAAATACAAGGTATAGCCCTGCAAAACCAAGCCAAAGCTGTGCAAAATCTGTAACGTACGTAAACACAAAAATATGACTGGGAGGAGCCAGTTTTATTTCCTGATTTAAATTAACCTTTTATGCATGACAGAATTATCTCTCTCCCTAAGAGGACGCTAAACCTGTTTTCAAGCAAAGATCTAGTGGTCTTTCTGGTGCGTTTATAAGGGGCCAGCATAAGATATGACAATGTTTTGGAAAAATGTCTTTGCGGAAGCCAGATTTCTAGGTTGACAGTCTAACACTGGTTATGAAAGGCAGGTTCCCACAACCAACAAGATCCTCATTAGTCTAAAATGGTCAATAGGAGCTGAGCGGGTCTCATCCCCTGACCAAGTTAGCAACCATCTTCTCAATGAATCATTCCAGATTGTCCCCATAGCAAAAATTATGCTGGGAGAAGAGTGAAAGCACCAAATGGAACATCTAAGGTTGACTTGAAACTGTCTCAGATATTGGTTGGGATTGAGATGTGGACAGTGTCATGAAGTCATGGCAGAGCAAAATGGTACCCAATGCATTAATGGCTACCTTGTTCTAAGTGCTAACAGATTTAAAATATTTTCTACTTTGGAGGCTTTAACTGTCTTCTTCCCAAATGCCCCTGTATTTCCTTCAGGTAAAGTCCAACAACCAGCTACTTCAAATAGTTATATCAATCCTGTTTTCCACATTTTGCTAAGTTACTGCATCCAAATTATGGGAATTGGTTTGTGGTGTATTTTTTCACGCCCCTGTGTAGACGATCAACTAATCAGGCTAAACTTTTCTAGAATGCAGCAGTGTTTCAACATCTGTTGATTTCACAGACATGCAGTTTATTTCCCATTCTGCCTAAAAAGTGTGATAATATTGTCAAAATGATTCCATGCAAGGAGCAATAAATAGTGCCACAGAATCTCCATCCCTCTCACGTACAAACAGAATGTTATGATGCATGATGCTCAATTCGACATTAGCCCTCGTCCCAGGATACCTCTGTTGAAAATTTTCGGATTCTGGTTTATTAACTAAAACTGTATTCTCCCACCCACCCAGGAATCATGAATCCTAAGCATAGGATTGCTGCTTCAAAGTTTGTTTGTTTTTAATCCCCCATTTTCTTATTAAGGGATTAGTAAAATCTAACCCAGATTGCTAATTCAAAATATATCAAGTATTCTTAATATGGGCCATTTTCTTGGCAAAAAAGGAGATGATTAATGGAGCCTTGCAGAAGGCTCCGTTATAAATTCTTATCCAAGA